GTGATCCTGACTTATCAAGTGTGAAACCTCACTTGTAGCGTCATCCCAAATCCTACGTATCCTACGTATCACCTTATATCCCGGTGTGGCCGAGGACTTATCAAAACCCAAAAATTAACCCTTTTCCCAACCTAAATTAAACCTTTTAATCAGATTTCACCTAGCCTAATAAACTGTTCTAAAATATTATTTTAGTCAGAGTGTGAAGAGAAGATCGGGCCAACCAGGTTCGCATCAATGACTTTTCTATGCCACCACCACAATGTGAGTAAAGCCTTGGAATTTAGTCTCGGTACACAATTCAGATATTTAAGATTAAGTGACGGTAAAACATATATGTATCTTATCAAATGGTCCAATGTTTGTAACATATCCACAATATAACACATAATGTTATAAATTCGATATGTGCATAATTACACAAATTATACGCTTTAAATCATATTGATGATTTAATCACTTAGTAGTGGTGTTAAATCAACACTTCTAATAAAACAAAATCATAAAGCTCATACATGTGATAATAACAATTCACTTATCCTTATGTACACCGCTGTTAATTTTCTCTATAATATTCAAAGCACTCACCATTTAGAATATGAAATTGTGATTTTTAAAATGCTTGTCACAAAATATATTTCACGTTTCAAATGCTCTCAAAACATAATAATCAATTGGATGCAAAGATATAGGCAAACCATCTTCTAAATTATGTCATTATTATAGTTTTAAGGAAATATGGTCAATGCCCAATAATATATGACTACTTGTGCTCAAAATAACCATTTCCATATGATAGTCTATTATAATATAAATATGCATGTGGCTTATTAAAATATGAGGAGACAAACCTCGTCGGAGTATGCTCAAAGCTCCGATATAAACCCAATAATTATTTCTGTTGTACTCCATTGCTTAAAGGTTACACATAAGTCGAAGCAGTGTGATTCACCAGTATTGTTCTGTATGAAGTTGCTGCCTTCCACTGCTAATCTCTGTTGTTGCTACACCATCATGTCGCCAAAAAATTATTATAATCTGCTCCATGATTCGAGTAGTTGACTGTTGAGAAAGTATGTTTAAACAAATACTACAATATAATAGAGTCAGTAGCATAACTAGAGGTGTCCAACCAATGGGGATTAATCTGAGTATCAATCGTTATGCTATGGACCCGTGTCCAGCACGCATGCTGGACACGGTAACGGTGCCGTTAGTGGCACCGTTCTCTTCCACTTTTTTAAAAAAAAAAAAAAAAAATTCAGATCACTTTGTTATAGGACTATATGTTCATAATTTTATCACTATATGTTCATAATTGTAAGTTCATAATGTCAGAGCTCTGTGTTCATAATTGCATAACTGTACATTCATAATTGCATAACTGTACATTCATAATTCCGTAACTGTACATTCATAATTCAACAACTGTAAATTCATAATTTTCGAAACTCTATGTTCACAATTTTAGAGCTCTATGTTCATAATTTTATCACTATATGTTCATATTGTAAGTTCATAATGTCAGAGCTCTGTGTTCATAATTCCATAACTGTACATTCATAATTCCATAACTGTACACTCATAATTGCATAACTGTACATTCATAATTCCATAATTGTACATTCATAATTCAATAATTGTAAATTCATAATTTTCGAAGCTCCATGTTCACAATTTTAGAGCTCTATGTTAATAATTTTATCACTATATGTTCATAATGTCAGAGCTCTGTGTTCATAATTTTATAACTTACATTCATAATTTCATAACTGTACATTCATAATTCCATAACTGTACATTCATAATCTCATAATTGTACATTCATAATGGCACAAACGAATAACGCCGTTAACGGCGTGACAAAATCGATTTTTTTTTTTAACTAGAATGATGCGTTTTCCCTGAAAACGACGTCGTTTTAGACTCGTGCCCACAATGCATTGTGGACACGGGTCCAAGGCATAATTTGCGTCAGAGTATGGTATGAACTTAAAAAATGCCTCATACAGTTAAGATCTGCTCGGGACACCTCGTGGTCTAACAAAAAAAAAAAAAAAAAAAAACTAGAGGGCTTTAACGAGCCGAGCCGATCCGATTCGCTATGGGCCTGTTTATTTTTTGGAATGGCCCAATTCAATTCGATTAGATTTCGGATCGGACTTGGCCCACTCGAAAAATAAAATTAAAGTCCGGTTAATCTATAGCTCAAAAAATAAATAAATTAAAAAGTATATATCGACACATTTAAGTTCTGTTTTATTGTTAAATTAGCTTTACATGTTTACATATTTATTTTCAAATATTTAACTTAAGAATTATTTCCTTTCAAAAAAATTTAAGAATTATTACAAGAGAATTATGAAATGAATAATCAATATTCAATAATGTAATAACATTAATAAAGATAAGTTTACATATTGCAACTACTAACTTATATGGAGAGCACGGAATGCAGCGGTTTGGGATGTCTGCCTACCTTACCCAGGAAAATTGTTGCCAGTGCGAAAGCTACTATGCACGCATGGAATGCTGTACATCACGTCATGGCTACCAATGGTGGAGCTGCTGCCGCCCCCACGCCCGGGCTGCCGTCCACGCCACTGTCACCTGGAGAAGCTGCCGTGCCGAACGCTGCCTACGCCGTGGCCTCACGAAAATGCTATATGGATGCCGCCTACCAACATGCTACGAACGCGACCTCGGTAAGAGCGGTTCTGCTAGAACTCGATGGAAGGTTCGTTGCGGCATACAATGCCCCCTTGCCGGATTGTTTTTCCCCACTTATGGTTGAGGCCTTTGCATGCAAGGAAGCCCTATCTTGGTTACGCACCCGGGACGAGCGCACCGTCCAGATTTACATGGATTGTCAGATGCTACACTGTTATCTGACCTCAAGAGGACCCCCACTCAGATCATACATCAGCTATGCTGTTGATGCTTGCAAAATTTGCATATCTACTTTTGTTTTCTGTTCAGTTAATTTTATTCCTAGATCTCAGAATTTATTAGCTCATACTTTAGCTTCTACAGTTTCAGAATAGTCTACAGCTTTGTATTGGGATGAAGTTCCCTTGACTCTATTTTGGTTTATCTATAAAATGAGTACGCATGGTTGCCTTCAAAAAAACTTGGCAGAAGTGTCAAATAGGCCCATCTACTACTGCGAAGTGCTCAATTCCTACCACGAACTAAATTAAGTGTCAAATAGGCCCATCTATCAACTAAATTTGTTTGATTAGCTTTTTTTACAGGTTGCTAACAAGTTGTCTATTTAATCATTAAAAAATATAAAAAATATATTATATATAACAAATCTGGACCTCAAATGGCCTGAAACGAGGGCGGCGGCGACCATAGCTGCCACCCCCTAGTTCCAAACGGCCATGGCCGTCCCCAGATAGCCATTGCCGTATAAAAAAAAATCGAAATCCTTAATCAAACTATTGAATGTTTGATACTGACAATAAAGATTGACCATCCAATGGTGCTGATTCTCTAGATTCCTCAATGCCTTGCCCTTAAAATTGTCTACAACTATGCCTACCCATTGTTGAACACTGTTGCCACAAATGTCTGTGATAGTGTCCCATAAAACATCCTCTGCATACTTAGAAGGCACAAATCCACCAGCACCGCCGACTTGCTATTCGCCTCCACCATAATTCCAAAAAAAACAATTTCAACAAAGTCAATAATTAAGGCACGGTAGCAATCTGGGTAATTTTATTTTCAGCCGGGAAATGTTGGCGGAGGAGCCTGTGGACGGCAGTGGTCCATGGAGGTGAAAAACGGCGCGGATAGCCGGTGGGAATTTTTTTTTTTTTTTTTTTTTTGGTTATATATATATTTTTTATATTTTTTAATAATTGAATAGGCAACCTGTTAGCAACATGTAAAAAAAAGTCAATCGAACAAATTTAGCTGGTAGATGGACCTATTTGACACTTAATTTAGTTCGTGGTGAAAATTGAGCACTTTGCAGTAGTAGATGGACCTATTTGACACTTCTGCCAAAAAACTTCTATGTAGTAAGAGTAATTTTGAATTTAAAACAAATAAAATTTTACAACTTTAAAATATTTTAAGGTAGTAATTATTAATTAGTATGCTAGTTAAATAGTAAATAGGCAACAATTTAATAGACATAAAATTAATTTCATAATTTTTAATATGATAATTTCATGTGTCATTAATCCTTTAGATTATATATACATATTATATATTTTACGAATAAAGATCAAATAAGTCATTGAAATAATGCAATTAGGTCATTAAATCTTTAAAAAAAATTACAATTGAATATCTAAACTAACCCATTTTATGCAATTCGTCAAATTTGATGATTTTTTCAGTTTCTAAATTCTAACTGGTCACCTAAATTTAAAATATTATTAAAAAATAATTATTTAATTTTTTTTTAAATAGCGTCTCCGCCGGAGGCAAGAAAGTTTATTTGTCTCCATGGCCGGAGAAATCCAACTGAAAACATCATAGACGCCATCCGTCAAGAAAACTCAAGTGTGGTGTTCCTCAGTTTCTCGAAAATGCAGCTTTTTTGGCTTCGGATGGATAGCATAAAAAACTCGGTTATGCGACTAGGAATTGATAGTAATGTGAAAGACGAGGTGATAGGGTTGTTGGATGCTGTAGAAAATCGGAAGCAATGGGGGGGTGATCGGGAAGGGATCATCATCACCCGAGATAATAACACTTGAAGGCAGTACACTCCAGGAATGCTTTGATCTCTTCCCAGAATGGGGTGAAAGTGTGGGGAAGTTTGGAATGTAGGTGCTATTAGAACTGCCATGGAGTCTCCTCCGCCTTCCAAGCCCTGCTATCACTCGGTAACACTTCCATATCAGAAAGAAGTGAGCCAAGAAACCGTATTTTGCAGTCAGTGTAGGCGCCCCATGGGGAAATATGTTGTTTACAAATGTGATGTTACAGATTCTACAGTTCAATAGGCTGTCCTTTACGACGACTAATTTTTATTTTTATTTTCTCTTTGGTGATGAACCAAGTGTTGTGAGGCCTATTTTACAATAAAGATACCGACATTTATAAAGCATTGCTAATTTCAGTGAAAGTGAAGTGCATTTAAAGATTGAGAATTATATATATACATGTTTTTTCTTGTTTATGGCCTGATAGGGGGAGATTGGCCATATTGCAACTTAATAAGGGAGTAATAGGAGCCATGTGTCCCGAGGCGAAGCAAGTCAGAGTGTGATCCTTGCTCGACCACCTTCCCGTTCTTGATCACACTGATGGTGTCCGATTTCTGTATCGTGGAGAGCCTGTGGGCGACGATTACACATGTCCTTCCGTTCATCATCTTCTCGAGTGCCTCCTGAACCAAGTTTTCCGAGACGCTGTCGAGTGCACTTGTGGCCTCATCCAAGAGCAGGATAGCTGGATTCTTTAGTATGGCTCGAGCAAGCGCTATTCGTTGCTTCTGCCCTCCTGAAAGCTGCACTCCTCGCTCTCCACAGTATGTTTCGTACCCATCTTTCATCGAGCTACATGCATTTAAACTAGCTAAGTTCAGCATATATACATAATATATAAGTTAGATGGTTGTAGCGTGTTGTACCTTATGAATTCGTGTGCATTAGCAAGAATTGCAGCTTTCTTGATTTCGGATTGGGTAGCGTTTTCTTTGCCATAAGTAATGTTTTCTTGAATTGTGCCTGCAAAAAGGGTAGGCTCTTGACTCACCAGAGCTATGTGTGATCTGAGGCTCCTTAGGTTGTATGCTTTGATGTCTCTGTCATCTATCAGTACTGATCCTCTCGTGGGATCATAGAATCTTTCGATCAGTCCAATGATGGTGGATTTTCCCGAGCCACTTTGTCCAACGAGCGCCATGGTTCTTCCCGGTTCGATCTTGAGGTTCATGCCTTGAAAAACCATCTGATCAGGCCTGGATGGGTAGGAGAAGAAAACATTCTTGAGTTCTATCTTTCCTTGTAATGGATTTTTAACTTCAAGTCCTTGCAGATTATCGTCAGGCTCGATTTCTGATTTCCTGTCCAGAATCGCGAGAACAGATGCAACAGCACTGCTACCTCGGGCTAAATCGGAAGTCATGCTTCCAGCATCAGCAATGTTCTTACCAGTACTCAATAAAATGAAGAAAGCTTGGAACAGATGTTTTGCAGACACTTCCCCTTTGTTCATTAGCCTACCGCCATACCAAAACGTTATGGCGATATTCGCTGTGGTGATAAACTGAGAACAAAAAAGGCCTGCCCCAGAAACCCATGACTGTCTAAGGCTCTCTTTCCTGGGGCCTCTCTGTGTTTCCATGAAGAGCTTCATGATTCTTTGTTGAGATGAGAAGGCAGTGATAGTCCTGTGATTGATCACCGCTTCGCTTGCTAGCTGGCTTCCTTCGCTTTGCGCCTTTTTAGCTCTTCTGGACATGCTCTTCATCAAAACACTTCTCGAGTAGAAACTCATAACGGCTAAAGGCTGTATGGCAATCAGCACAATTGCGACTTTCCAAGTGACGATCAATCCCAAGAGGAAAGCGAGAGAAGCACTGGTGAAGATTTGAAGCAGCAACGAGATTCGGTCCCCAACCAGGGCTCGAACCATGTTTGCTTCTGAGGCTAGCCTGGCACAGATTGCTGCACTCGTGTTCTCGTCCTCATCGTACCATCCCACTTCGAATGTAAGCAAGCTTTGAAGCATTTTTTCCCTCACTCTCTTAGTTAACATCTCTCCCATGATTGCAAAGTTGTAATGTTGTATTATGCTGCTAAAATAGGTAATCACACCAAAGCACACAAAAGCAATGCTGTAATCCTTGGTCTCTGATTTTATGTTTGAAGAATTTGATACATACACTGAGACGACGGTTCCCAAGCAATAGGCATGAGCTGGTTGAACTGCACCAAAAGTGAAACCTCCAAGGCATCCCAACAAAGCTCTCTTCCACTCTGGTCCGTTTAGTTTGAGCAAACGCCACATCGAGGGACTCTTCTGATACAACTTCTCAGAAATGTCCTCATCAGTGTTGTCGCTGTCACAGTAAGAGTACAAGTGGACCGAAGGGACAATGCTAGGACTTATTACCGAGGGGCTGACAAAGGGAGAAGCAGGGGTGTTTAGCCCGCTTGATCTTGCACTATAAGGTGAGTTTGGGGTATTCATATGGATCCCTCTTCTCGAGTTCCTTGAATAATTCGGGTGATAATAAGAATGTGAAGGGGCTTCGGTTTCTGTTTCTTCTACTGATTGTTGCAGTTGTACCATCTTGAAGTAGACTCCACCACCTTCTTCATTCATTTGCATCAGCTGATGATGAGACCCCGACTCGACTATTCTCCCCGACTGGAGGACAACGATTTTGTCTGCCTTGCGAATCGTGGTGAGGCGATGCGCAATGACAATGGTTGTCCTTCCTTCTGAAGCCTGGTCTAATGCCTCTTGCACTACTCTCTCAGATTGCGCATCTAGAGCACTTGTAGCTTCATCAAGCAACAGGATTTTCGGGTCTTTCAACAACGCCCTCGCTATTGCAATCCTTTGTTTTTGGCCTCCAGACAGCTGAAAACCAAACTGCCCAACCTGTAATAAGGTCCAAATGTAACAGAAGAAGCCTTATCAGAGATATTCCAATTGTTTTAGAAAAACAGGTAAATCTGATTTCATAATAATCTCTTACATGAGTTTCATATCCTTGGGGTAACTTTTCAATGAAACTATGAGCATTTGCAGCCTTAGCAGCATCAATCACATCCTCCATTGAAGCCTCTTCATTCCCAAACAATATATTTTCTTTTATTGAAGTTGCAAAGAGAACTGGTTCTTGATTCACAAGGCCTATCTGAGATCTCAACCACTTAAGCTTGAGTCGTTTTATTTTGTAGCCATCGAGCAAGATATCGCCTCCGGTTGGATCATAAAACCTTTCGAGCAAAGAGACGAGTGTGGATTTCCCAGAACCACTCCCTCCCACCACGCCCATTGTCTTCCCAGCTTTTACTCTCAGACTGAAGTTTTGAAGAACTGTGATATCTGGCCTTGATGGGTACCTAAAACTCACATCTCTGAATTCAATCTCCCCTCTTACATATGATAGAGCTTTCCCTTTCCCATCCTCGGAGTCTATCTCAGGAACGCGGTTTATCAGCTCAAAAATCTTGACAGCAGCAACTCTTGCCTCAGTGATGAATGAGAAATTAGGCAATACACCCATGCATGATCTATAATAACAAAAGGGGAAAAGAGTCAAATAAGACCATAAACTTTACTCCAAGAGTAATTAGAGAGTCATTATTCTATGGATCATGGTTCACACAACTGTGTAGACCGCAAATAAGATTTACACATTATTTGAGTACTAAAAGTATATTATTTTATATACTATCAAATAATATATATTCAGTATACAAAGAATGTATTTTTAGTATATTAAAAATGTACTTTGTATTAATGGAAAGTACATTATTTTGTATACTATCAAATAATGTAGTGTAGTGTTGCAAAAATCCCGCCTAGGCACCGATTAATCGGCGCCTAGGCGTTAGGCGCTGGCCGGCCGCCTAGCGTATCACCGTAATCGGTGGTCTAGGCGGCTGACCGGCTAGGCCGCCTAAGCGCCGTCTAAGCCGCTTAGGCGCCGACCGCCTAGGCCGCCTAAGCGCCGTCTAAGCCGCTTAGGCACCGACCGCCTAGGCCTCCGAGGCACCAACTAGGTCGCCTAGTCATCCGATTAGCTATTGTTCATTTTTTTAAAATGGGTTATTTCACTCAAAATGAAATCGTTTTGAACAAAATAACCCTAAATTGTTCAAACTCTAGATTTTTTAGGTTAATATTTAATATTTTAGTATTAACTATTAAAGTATTAAATACTTTATAATTATCAAGTCTTAAAAAATTAAAAAAATTAAACATATTTTTAAAAAATAAAATAAAAAATACACGGGCGCCTAGGCGCCGATTAATCCCCACCTAGGCGCTAGGCTCCCCTCGAGCGCCTAGCGATTTTTTCAACCATGATGTACTATGTGTTTGGTCACTAGGAATGAGAATCAAAAGTATAGTTAATGTTTGGTTGTCAACTTCTTAAAACATGCACATGGGATTTGATTACCCTTTTAAATTAAAAACCTTATTTCCTAATTAAAAATATGTACCATTCCATCTTATTGGTAATTTGATTTTTAAGTTTGGATTAGTATTTTTAGATTATTGTTTTGATATTTTTTCTTCATATTGGTGCTTTGGAATTTGGATGTTATTATGTTAGAATCATTCCTTGATTTTTTGTTTTTAATTTGTATTGTTAAAACTTTTATTCCTATTGTAGGGTCATACATAACCAAAACATCAATTTTGGTAATCATTCCAATTTCACCCTACTACCAAACATGTAATATACTTTCTCCAAAACTTATTAGCATTACCAAGTATTTGATTTTCATTCCGATTATGATTCCCATGTGCGAACCAAACACACCTTTAGTATATTAAACTTTCAAAAGTTGCAATTGAACCCATAAACATATTTTTTGGAGCATTGAAGCCCAAAAAACGGTTGTTGACCTGTTACTAAGGTTCCCGCAACTCTCTGGCTAACTTCGATAACCCTCCAACAAGTCTGCCAACCTTCGACGAATTTTCAACGAGATTTCAGGACAAACACTAGCGGCCGACGACCATCAAACGGTCCCCAGTCGCATTTGTAGAAGGCGAAGGACGGAAGGACCAGTTTGTCTGCCTTCTTTGGCGACCAACTTGGTCACCTTCTCTAAACATGACCGTTAGACGATCGCCGGTCGTTGGTGTTTGTCCTAGAATCTCGTCAAAAATTCTTTGAAGGTCAACTGGAGGTGTCGGAGGATCATCGAAGTTGGCCGGGAACCTATTGACCTGCAATTACAGGTCCCTAAACACTGACGTAGCCTTTTGTGTTGAGAATAATGTCATGGGCCTGGGATGGGTATCTGAGATGAAGATGGTCGGTTCTTGGTTGCACGCAACATTTGTGTTACTGGGATGCATACGGTTGTGGAGGCGGAGATACTTTGCCTACGTGAAGCTCTTATTTGGCTGCGTGGAACAAGGATGGACAACGTAGACTGCGAGACTGATTCACAACTATGCTTTCATACATTAAATTCTGATTCTTTTTGTTCTGCATTTGGTTTTTTGGTAGATGATATAAAGCACGTAGCCTCTATGATAGATGGGGTTAGCTTTCAGTGTGTTAAACGATCTGCGAATCGTGTGGCTCATGCTGTAGCTCGGGAAGTCGTTTCTTTGTCAGGTCCTGGAGAATGGTTTGATACACCACCTCGTTACCTTGTTGCGATTATCACCAGTGATTTAATGAATTAAGAAGCCGTTTTCAAAAATAAGTTTTTAAGCTTCAATGCTCCAAAATAACATTTTATAAATTTAATTGCAACTTTTGAAAGTTTAAGGGTCTAATTAATTTTTCTAGTAAAATTTAGGAATTTATTTGACCATTTTTCCTAAAAAAAAATATGGAATTTTGTTTGTTCTCAAGATGACAATAATGAATTGAGAGAGTGAAGTGAGTGACTTACAAGCCTCCAAGGTTGATGCAAACAGCTGATATGAAAACACGGCCACCACTCTCTCCTTTATCAGCTACAAGCAAACTCCCAATCCAAGATTCAAACCCCCAAGCCACATAAACCATTCCCATACTTCCTATCAGGTTCCCCTTCACAAACCCTTGCTTTATTCCAAGAATCTTGCTCTCTTCAAGACCACTGCTGAATCTCTTTACTGTCTGGATCTCTGCTACATATGAATAAACTGTTCTTATCGATGAGATTGCCTGTTCTGCTATGCTACCTGCAACTCCATATGCACCCCTCATCTTCATCCCGGATTTCATTAGTAGCTTCCCAAATGCCACACCTGGAACCATAAACCCAAGCTGGAATGGGATAGCAGCCACTGCTAGTCTCCAGGAAAGGATGGCAGCCACTATGAAGCCTGATATGAATGTACAAAGGTTTGCCAAGGTATTCGGGATCTGAAAAAATAGAGAGAAACACAAATGAACGATACCAGTGTTGTAAAAATTAGTCTAGGCTGCCGCCTAAGAGCCGATTAGGTGATAGACGACCTTAGAGCAACTTCAATAGTAGTAGTTTTTTTAAAATTTTTGAGGTGTTACTGAGAACGGAGATGAGAGGGAGCGAAAATAGAAAAAAAAAAAAAAAGTAAAAACAAAAGTTGAAAAGTAACTTTAAAAAAAATGCAGATAAACGCACCCAGTCTAGAGCGTGCACGTACTACATGCACCTGGGCGCTAAATGTGCGCCATACGCACACTAAGGTAATAGACTTCTGGCATCTCTCTTCTGCGGGACCCACTAAAAATTTGGGTGTTGCAAAAGAAAAAACCTCAAAAAAAAAAAAAAAGCAAAAAAAAAAAAAAACCAAGTTCCCCATTTGTTTAAAAACTTATACCTTAGTTTTTTCTTCATCACTTAAAACTCCTATTGAGGATAAGTCAAGGGGATTTTACGTTTAAGCGGGCATTAGTCAACCGCTCGACTAAGCGGCATAGACGCCCAACTTGATTCAGTGTTTTTTTTATTTTTTTTTTGTGTAATGTGTTTTGATATTATTATTATTACTCGCTCATTTAGGTGCTAATGGTTAGCGCCTTATACAAGATTAGAAGATACTATAAACTAGAAAGATAATAACAATACAAAGAAACACCGTACTACCTTCTCTGCAATAACATCTTGGATTACATGAGCATCAGCTGAAATAGTTGAGACAACTTGGAAAGTAGAGCATGATGCATCTTGGTTGTCAAAGAAGCTGACTTCTTGTCTCATAACTGATTTTAAGTATTCTTTCCTCATACGAGATGTTTGTCTCTCTGCAGTTATTGTCCAACAAACTCCCTCTACGAGAGCAAGAAAATGAATGGTGTTAGGATCAAGCGCCTTAGCCACGGGCCAAATTGCACGGGTTTTTACTCTTACTGAGGCTCAAATCCATGACCTAGCTATAGCGAATGCGTAATTTTATTTCTTTATAGACCGCCATCATATTTTCGAGAGGCAATGCGCTGGACTTGGCCCTTCACCAGCCTCCGCCCAACAATCCTCCTAGCCACCAATTGATCAATTGTTATACTACTACTGGAAATTATGAAATTTCCGACCACTTGAAAGTGATCTTAAATCAAGTTGATACCAAAAAGTAGTTGGAAATAGCAACAAAGGTTTTTCTGGATACCAAAAGTGGTCGGAACAAGGCTTTCGACTTGATTTAAGATCACTTTCAGGTGGTCGAAAATTCCATAATTTCCAGTAGTGTACCGTGGACTGTATCAGGGTTCATATTGCATTATTGTGAACCCTAGTCGAAAAATTATGTGCTTGCATTAACATATTTTGTACTGCAGTTAACAATTTGTGTATTTGTAAACAAATTGAAGGCACATAACATGGTAATTACAGACACATAATGATAACTACAAACATATAAATTGTTAACTGTAGATATAAAATATATTAATTACAGACATATGAGATGTTGGTTAACATGACGTGTTTGCAATTAACATATTCTGCACCTGTAGTTAACAATTTATATATGTATTTATAGTTATCATGGTTTGTGTTTGTAATTATCATGTGATGTGCTTTCTATTAGGACTCTATTATTATTAGTATTCGTTACCTATTGTTACTAGTATTAGTCTTGTATTAGGTTTGCTATTCGCTACTATATATATTCCTGTACAGACTTATTATTTGATTCATTCAGAAATATTATATCCTCATCTGGTATCAGCAGGTTCTTTTTCTCTCTCTCTCTCTATGACGCACCTCGGTTCTGATGGCGGTTCTGTTGGAAGTTCTGAACGGACTGTTTCTGAGGCTGCGCTTGTGGCACCCCTGCAGTCCGGGGTGTCGTTCTCTTCGGCTCATCACTTCGTTTCCATCAAATTGACATCCCGTAATTTTTTGTTTTGGCGCACTCAGCTTCTTCCGTTCTTGGATGGCCAAGGATTATTGGGTTTTGTCGATGGAACGTCTGTGTGTCCCCCGTTTACTGTGATTACGGTACCTTCTGCCGAGGAGGCTGCTGCTGTCGTGTCTTCGTCGGCCGTATCGTCCGCCGCTCGGAGTGCATGGCTTCGTCAAGATAAGGTCGTGCTCTCCTTGTTGATCTCGTCCTTGTCCGACGAGATGATGCATCTTGCCATCGGTAAAACCTCCTCTCGGCATTTGTGGGTGGCGATCGAACATGTTCTTGGTTCGACGACTCGGGCCCGTGCTCTTCGGTTGGTGGGCGAACTGCAAGGATTGCGGCAGGGGGATGCTTCGATCCCGGATTATCTTGGGCGTGCTCAGGTGCTTATTGAGGATTTGGCACTTGCCGGCCGTCCGGTGACACTAGAAGATCAGAATATGTATATATTCCGGGGCTTGCGGTCCGAATATCGCCCTTTGGTGGCGTCGCTGACGAGGGGTGCTCCGGTGTCTTTACCCGAGTTATCCGATTTTCTTGTTTCGCAGGCCTTTATATGTGCTGATGATGGTAGTGACGTTGCTACTGCTCCGGTCGCCATGGTGGCTCAGCGAGGTGGAGGTCGCTCGGGCGGGCAGAAGCGTGGCGGCGGCAATCGAGGCCGAGGTCGTGGCAAGGGCCAAGGCCGCGGTCGAGGTAGCGCCGGGGCTGTCCAGTGCCAGATCTGCTCCGGCGAAGGCCACTCAGCCGCTTCGTGCTATCGTCGTTATGATGGCGCTCCGGGGCCGCGGGCACATGTTGCATATTCTGTTGATGATTTGGCTTCGGTTAATCCTCAGCAGTGGTTTCCTGACACTGGTGCGTCGAATCATGCCACTCCGGATCCGTCTTTAATGTCCTCGGCGGTTCCTTATAGTGGTCCGGATCATCTTCGTGTTGGTGACGGTAAGTGTTTACCTATTGTTAGTACTGGTTCATCTTCGTTAGCCGCATCTAAAACACTGTTTCGATTGTCTGATGTTCTTCATGTTCCTGGGCTTTCTGCGTCTTTATTGTCCGTGCAACGGTTTGCTCGTGATAATAATGTCTTTTTTGAGTTTCACCCTGATTGTTTCTTTGTGAAGGATCGTTCAACCAGGGAAGTTCTATATAAAGGGCCGGCTTCGGGGGGTCTCTATTCTTGGCCCGTCTCTCGTTCAAGTCCCGCTGCGTTTGTGGCCTCTCGAGTCTCCTCTGACGTGTGGCATAGCCGGTTGGGTCATCCTCACCCGCGTGTCTTGCGGCAGATTTTAAATTCATGTTCTATTCAGTCTAGTTTTAGTGATACTTCGGAATTGTGTCGTGCTTGTATGCTTGGGAAATCCTCACGGTTTCCCTTGCCTCGTGTCAATACTACTACGTCTCATGTTTTAGAACTTATATATACTGATATTTGGGGCCCAGCGCCTTTTCTTTCCGTCAATGGCTTTCGTTATTTTGTTTTGTTTGTTGATGACTATACGCGCTATGTATGGTTTTATCCTATGCGTTTGAAAACTGATGTGTATGCTATCTTCGAGCAGTTTCGGTCACTAGTTGAGCGTTCATATGGTCGTAAGATTGTCTCTATTCAATCTGATTTAGGGGGAGAGTATAAACGGTTGCACCGTACTTTTGTCTCTTTGGGTATTAATCATAGGCAGTCTTGTGCCTATACCCATGAGCAGAATGGTAGAGTTGAGCGTCGGCATCGTCACGTTGTGGAAACGGGTTTGGCTCTCTTGGCCCAGGCTTCGGTTCCACAACGATATTGGGATTATGCCTTTGAGACTGCGGTCTATCTCATCAATAAGATGCCGACTCGGGTTTTGGATAATGATAGTCCTCATTCTCGGTTGCATCGTTCTAGTCCTTCTTACTCTTTCTTGCGTGTGTTTGGCTGTCTCTGTTATCCTCTGTTACGCCCGTATAATCGTAACAAGTTGCAGTATCGGTCTTCTCCGTGTGTGTCTCTTGGTTATCCGTCTTCGTTTCGTGGCTATCGTTGTTTTGATCCTGCTACTAACAAGGTATTCATTTGCCGTCATGTGCGGTTTGATGAAACCATATTTTCATTTGCTTCTTCTGTCCCCTCTCAGGTCTCTAGCTCTCGCCCGATTGAGCCGTGGGGTGTTGGCGCCGTTCAGGTTGGCGCGAGCTCCGGTGTTTGTTCTGCTGGGCCGGATCCTCGTCCAGAGATGGACATGGATTCCGGGGCTGCTGGTGCTGCTTCTGATTCCCGCACCGAGACTGCCGTGGCTCCAGATGTGGCAGTCTCGGGTGCTCCTAAGGCGCCCAAGCGAGGTCGGCACGCGGTAAAACCGGTTCCACCTCGGTCTCATGTTATGGCGACTCATTCTTTGCGGCCGACGCAGCATGTGGCTCTTATGACTGTTTCTGAGCCGACCTGTTATTCTCAAGCAGTTCGGTATCCGGAATGGCGTGAGGCCATGGATCTTGAGTTTAATGCTTTGCTCCAGAATCACACTTGGCGTCTGGTTAGTCGCACACCTGGTATGAATGTTGTAGGCTGCAAATGGGTGTTCAGGACGAAGCGCAAGGCTGATGGCACGATTGAGCGGCACAAGGCTCGGTTGGTGGCTAAGGGGTTCAATCAAGTCGCAGGACAGGACTTTTTTGAGACCTTCAGTCCTGTTGTAAAACCCACAACCGTGCGGCTTCTTCTCTCTTTGGCTGTTTCTCGCGGTTGGGTAATTCGGCAGTTGGATGTTCACAACGCCTTTCTGAATGGTAATCTTGCAGAGACAGTCTACATGCGACAGCCGCCTGGCTATGAGGACTCGTCACGACCGGATGATGTATGCTTACTACAGAGGTCACTCTATGGTCTTAAGCAGGCTCCTCGCGCATGGTTTAACAGGTTACATGCTTTCTTGGTGTCGGTTGGTTTTTCACCTTCAAAGACTGATGTCTCTTTATTCATATACACTCGTGACTCTGTATCTTTATATGTGCTTGTTTATGTGGATGATATCCTTGTTATGGGATCTGATGCTTCGCGTGTTACTCGGCTTCTGACTGACTTAGCCTCGGAGTTCAAGATTCGTGACATGGGTGCTCCATCTTTTTTTCTGGGCATTGAGACGGTCTCTCGTGGTGATGGTTTGTTTCTTTCTCACCAGCGATACATGCGAGATATCTTGAGCCGTGCAGGTATGGTGGACTGCAAGCCGTTGGCTACTCCGGTGCCTGTGACTCGACCCGTTTCTGAATCTGTGGTTCCTTATGCCGATCCCACGCAGTATCGCAGTCTTGCTGGGGCTCTGCAGTATCTTACTGTCACTCGCCCGGATTTATCTTTTGCTGTGAATCGGGTCTGTCAGCATATGCACTCCCCGACTACTGAGCATTGGGCAATGCTCAAACGTGTTCTGCGGTACGTTAAAGGCACTTTGCATTTTGGTCTGTTTATTCGCCCATCCTCCTCTGTTGCAGTGCATGCTTTTTCGGATTCGGACTGGGCTGGGGACCCCGCTGACAGAAAGTCTACTAGCGGCTTTGCGGTTTTTCTTGGTGACAATCTGATCTCTTGGTCTTGCCGGAAGCAACGTACGGTTGCTCGTTCGTCTACAGAGGCCGAGTACAAGGCACTAGCTGACGTGTCTGCTGAGGTCACCTGGTTGGTTTCTCTATTGCATGAACTTCGGTTGCCGTTGGCAGCTCCTCCCACTCTCTGGTGTGATAATCTGGGTGCAACTTATCTCTGTTCCAACCCGGTGTTCCATGCTCGTACGAAACATGTGGAAATTGACTATCACTTTGTTCGTGACAAAGTGGCAAAGAAAGAGTTGCAGGTTAGCTTCATTTCTACTAAGGATCAGCTGGCTGACGTGTTCACTAAAGCTCTCCCTGGTTTGCGTTTCTCTACTCTGTGTGGCAAGCTCAATGTTGTAGCTAGTCCACCTTGTGCTTGAGGGGGAGTATTAGGACTCTATTATTATTAGTATTCATTACCTATTGTTACTAGTATTAGTCTTGTATTAGGTTTGCTATTCGCTACTATATATATTCCTGTGTACAGACTTATTATTTGATTCATTCAGAAATATTATATCCTCATCCTTTCAAATTGTTTACATGTACAAAAACGGTTAACTGCAGGTATAAAATTTGAAGGTTATTTTTGGACCAAGATCCACAATACAAGATAGATCCTGTTCTATGATATAATTTACCACAATTGACGAACTTGACCCTTTACCGATCTCTGCCCAACAAATGGGGCAGGGTTATTTTATTTTATTTTTTTTGAAAGGAAAGGATATCATTAAAATCAAGAGATTAAGTGTTTAATACAAGAAGGAATAGTAGAAAACCAATTAAAATGATCAGTATGAGAACTAGCAGCTCTAGCCAACACATGAGCAAACTTATTCACTGATCGATTAACATAATGAATATATGGTAGACGTGAATGCATACCGATGAAAGCAGAAACTCCAACTCCAATTGCAACATAGAGAAGCCTGAGTGAGTACTATTTATAACATATGCAGACCAGACATAATCTAGTTAGTAATAGTAAATATACGAGTTAACGTCATTTGGGATCTTCTGAGTATAGTGATTTTACCACATTTAGTTTTAAACTTTCAAATTAATCACCCGTGGTCCTTCGACTTTTGAATTGTTACCATCCGTGGTTCAAGTTAACCATTTATAGTCCTTCAACTTTCAAAATTTAACCAGTCATGATCTTTCTGAAAAAATCATGGGTGGTTAAAATTTGATAGTTGAAGGACCATAGGTGGTTAACTTGGACCACGGATGGTAACAATTTGAAAGTCGAAGGACCACGAGTGATTAATTTAAAAATTTAATACTAAACTTGACAAAATCACTATACTCGTAAGATCCGATATGGTATTAATTCTAAATATACATACATACCTTGTCAACAACTTGATTGGAGATAGAAATGCCTGCAGAACCAAAGTCATCAATGATTCCACTAAGTATGTACATGTTGAGAGGAATCATCAGCCCATCTCCAATGCATCCTAAACTACCAACAAACATCAGCAACTTGTCTATGTTGTCTGCATACCTAAAAATACCCCCCATTTAGTGCCCCTTAATGTTAAACTCTCCCAACTCCTACTTTACTACTTAACACAAGATTTCTAAGTTTATATATATATATACCCCTATGCTCAAATTTAATCATTCATGTATCAGTCACAACCTTGCTAAACAGGTCATTTATTTGTCTCTTGCTAGTTAGTTGCTAGGATAGCTACCTCTCATATATTCCAAGCCGGCTAGTGGGACACTTTTGTAGGAATCTTTGATTACATCAAAACATTGGACAAATCTAAATTAAACACAACAAAATTTTCATGGTATTTTTCTTTGAGAATCTGGAATCATTCCATTTGCTACCATCCAGCTGTTGAAGAAGTCAGGATTCCTGATGGTATTTTTCAATGTGAATCTGTATGTTAGGATAGTATGGGTTTTGGGTGTGAGAAAACAAAGAAAACAAAGAATCGAATCACTTCATGAGTGTATTATATACATGCACTCTTCAATTGGATTCTTGTAGAAGGTCTTAATCACCTACATAAGCAACTGCAGATCAAAGTTAAGATAATAGACAATAATAATGACATTAAAGTTCACCCTTAGACATGAGGGATTAGGGGTGTGCCAAGTGCATCCGGTTAATCGAACTAAATTAATCAAAATTTTTAAAATTTTAACCATTAACCGAACCAAAATTTTTATTACCAAATTAACTGAACCAAATTTTATTTGATAACTGATTAACCAAAGCTTTTTAACTAAATTTTAAAATCCTTAATATTATGAATAAAAATTAGCATAACCAATTACATCAATACCTATAATAATACAACTATAAAAAAAAATACAAAAACAATACAATAACAACACTACAAATATAAAAGAACAAATCTATAGCATAAGCAATGTAGCAACTAATCCAAAAGTCCAAATTATATATATATATATATATATATATATATATATATATATATATATATATATATATTTGTATTCAAATGACGACATCCTTTCATATGAGAACGTAAGGATTAATATGGACCATTTATTTCCCTTGACCCAATGACTGATTTTTTTTTTTTTTAATTGTTTTCTTTTCCTAATCTCTCATTTATTTAATAAGGGTATATAAGCGTATTTCTGGCAATCTATATAAAATTTTTAATATATATATATATATATATATATATATATATATATATATATATATATATATATATATATATAATCGCACTCAGGTGCGAATGCTTCGCCCAGGCGCGAAATAGGAATGGATTCTGTTCGTCCACGTGTCCAGATCTAATGGATGAGAAACACTGATTTTTTTAAAAAATGCGGTGGCATTTTCGTAAATAATTGAACATCGAAGTGCAAGTAAAATGTATTACAAGTGCATGTAAAATGTATTATAGGTGCAAGTAAAAATTTACACTAAGCATCAATACTTAGTTGCACCTATAGTTCTAAGTAGTTGCACACATAGTTAATAAGTAGTTGCACCTAGGTGTATGAATGTTTGCGAGTGGTTTTCAGGGGTATTACTACCCGCTGAACTCAGATCAATGAATGTTAACAAGGCAAAATTACATGCACTTATAGGTGAAAGTAGGTGAACCTATAGTTATAAGTAGTTACACCTATAGTTATAAATAGTTGCACATATAGTTATAAGCACACCCAGGTGCATGAATGTTTGCGGAAAGTGAATGCTAACAAGGCAAAATTACATGCACTTATAGGTGAAAGTAGGTGCACCTATATTTATAAGTAGTTGCACCTATAGTTATAAATAGTTGCACATATAATTATAAGCACACCCAGGTGCATGAATGTTTGCGGAAAGTGAATGCTAACAAGGCAAAATTACATGCACTTATAGGTGAAAGTAGGTGCACTTGTAAGTGATTTTACTTGCACTTCGATGTTCAATTATTTACGAAATCTCACCGCATTTTTTTAAGTTATTAGATCTGGACACGTGTCGTGCGCTGATTCGTTCGCATTTCCCTCCTGAGCACTTATTCGCACCTGAGTGCATCCCTATATATATACATATATATATATATATATATATATATATATATATATATATATATATATATATATATATATATATATATATATATATATATATATATATATATATATATATATATGTTGAAAACTAAAGAGTTAGGTTTATCTATAGGGTTGTGTCTGTTTATGAATAGGTGTCAGTTATGGGTAGTTACTTGCAGTTATGTATTTGTGTATATATATGTACAGTGTTTCTGTATTAGAAACAGAGAGAATATACTAATATAATTTCAGTTTTATACACATTTCCTATTCCTAGATTCTTCATATTGCTTCCGCCTAACTGGCAGGTGGTGTTATTCTCCACCCGCCACGCACATTAAGAACACAAACAAAACATCTTAATTAAGAACACGAATCACGCACCTTAAGAACACCAACCACGCACATAACAAAGCACTTTAAAAACACAAATCACGCACCTAAGGTTTTAAAAATGGTTCACTTTAACAGCTCGTTTGGTTCGCTGGAAAATATTTGAAGGGAAATGGAATTGAAATTCCATGGAAAATAAATTACAAGAAAACAGATTCCATTGTTTGGTTGGTGGAAAAGAAATTACTAGGAATATGAATTCCATTGTTTGGTTGAGTTTGGAATGGTAAGGAATAATGAGCATAATGACAAATATAACCCTACACAATAATAATAATATAATAACAATAAGAGTAATTAATAAAGAATGGTGAGGATAAAATTGTCATATTAGTTTTCCATGGAAAAGGTTTTCCATGGAAAACAAAATACCTAGCATAAGCTAGGAATTTGTTTTCCTTGTTCTTAAGAAAAACTTTTTCCAATGGAAAATGTTTTCCATCCAACCAAACAACATAAAACATTATTTTCCTTCACTTTTTGGAAAACATTTTCTATGTTTTCCATCCAACCAAACACCCCCTAAGTTTCGCATAACTGACGCACCTTAAGCATACAAATCACGCACCTTAAGATGAAAAAAAAAGATGAAAACAACGCACATTAAATTTCAACAACTACTACTACCATTAAGTACACAACACCACGCACCTTAAACACAAATCTCACGCACCTTAAGCACAAACTCACGCACCTTATATACAAAACTCACGCACCTTACTCACAAAAATCATGCACCTTACATTTTATCTAAATGTAAAAAATTACCAAAATGTAATCGCAATTTTTTTTATTTAATTTTGGTAATCTAAACATTGATTTAAGCAAAATCAATGGTTCTCCTTTCACCGCACAACCGCACCTGGCACCCCCAACCACACAGGAACCCCTTTATATATATATATATATATATATATATATATATATATATATATATATATATATATATATATATATATATATATATATAATTTCGATTAACTAATATTTTTGAACCGAATTAACCGTTTAACTGAAATTCTATAAAACCTCTAAGCATTAATCGAAACGAAGTATTTCAATTAAAAAATGGTTAATTGGAACCATTACACACCTTATGAGGGATAAGTTATAGAACTTCTTCTACCACTATTCCCATAATTTTTTTTTTAATAAAACAATAACTTAAATTTTATATTCAAATTATTCACAAATATCTATATAATTGATAAGGAAAAATATTTATTATATAAATATAATAAACTATTATAAGGATAGATACCAATCCTTTGGTCTCTTCTGATTTTTGTAACTCATGGGGAAAATATGATATTAGAACTCAAAAAAAAAAAAAAAAAACTCAAGATATATAAGTATAGAGTAAATACCAGTCAAGGTTCCTCGAGTTTGATAGTTTCACCACCTATAGTCTCTAACTTCCGTAATTACCATCCTTGGTCCTCTGAGTTGCGAAATGCGACCTGCTGCCATCTTTCTGTTAGTTCCCTCCGTTTAAGTCGTTAAAAGTGAGGGCAAATATGTCATTTGTTACGATTGTTATTTTTGTTGTCTCTGTTCCGAGCTCTGAAACTTTGGGATCCGTTTTCCAGTAGTGTGACGAGGTCGACGCGGAAGAGGCTCCAGAGGGTGGAATTGCTGGAGTAGTTATTGGCGTGTGGAACCTTCGAGAATCAAAGCTGCGGCGTCGGGCTAGGCTGAGAGTATTGGAACTGATTCCAAATTTAGCGGTGGGTGGTGGTAATCGACGAGGAGGCGGCGCCGCTGTCGGAGCTGATGGAGAATGCCGGAGGGGCAAAATCTGTCCCCGAAAAAACACTTCATCTGCAGCGCACATCTCTGATTCCTTCAACGACCCACCCCACGAGCAGAAATCAAACTCCTCTTCCCCGCTGCTAGTCAGAGATTCTTTCTTGAACTGATTCTCCTGTTTGTTGGGAAGATCACACAGCGATAATGCCTCATCTTCGTTGTCTCCGTTTTAATTTCCTATTCTTTCTCCGCTCTTTGTACCAAATTACACGTGCACTGCAATTAGCACACAAAATTAGACGTTGATTGGTTTTTAAAGCCCAATCCCAGAAAAATCCAAATATACGAAACAGCCATGAAAGGTGACGAAATTAAACTTAGCTTGAAACACAATTTAGATCTGCCAATTTCTTCAACCCAAGGCTAAAGCATTAGTGGATAGGATGAAGCTTCATGTAACAACCCGAAATTTTTGAACTTTTAAAACTTATATAATAAAGGTGAATTCTCATTAAATCCCAAAATCAAACATAAGAGTGCGGGGTGCTATGCCACATCTGAGCTGGAGAACTCAGATGCACAGGCTAACTAACTAAAATCCTCAATACAAAAGTCAATACATAATCATGGCACGCAGGCCGAAGGGAAACTAACTAATCTACACTTCGGATCTCTAGCGCGCTCCAGGTCTACTCATCGGTGCCTGAAAGCCAAATATATCTGTTCAGCGAATGATGCTGGTAACCCACTCCAACGCGTTGAAATACAATATAGATAGATATATATAGATATATGAAAACCATTTTGAAGCAGAAAGATATATACTTAAGAGACTCTAG